ATTGTTATTGAGCTGGGTAGCAGTTGATGCGCATAGCATCAACAGGTCATTCATTCTCAATTAATATTTTCATATTTCATTAATCTCACCTCATTCATTTTTATCTTTTGTACAGAGCAATATTCAAATCAATATCACCGCGTCCACAGGCATAATTTAAAGGTTGACAATCACCAATTGGAGTCCAAAAATTCGCCTTTTTTAATATAAACAAAAACAAGAAACCTGCATTATTTTCATTAACAATTAGGTTCTAATCTCAAGTGACTCATTTATACTGACTCATATCATCAACAACTGTGATACCGATTTTACATTCTTCCTATAGGTATCTATACAGTAGCGAAAACAAAATCGTTCATACTTTTTTTTCTTTTCCTTCTCAAATAAGTTTATACATATTAGTGAAGAAGAGAAAAGACAAAAATAAACTCGTTATCACAATACACAAATAAAATATACTATTCTTGTAATATACAATCAGCCATTCTGAATTTCTAACACTCAATAATTCTACGTGCAAATGCTTAACACAATGGCCATCCACAAAGACAAAGAAATATAAAAGTAAAAATACACCGACGTTTGTTATTTCCTTTTCTGGTCGTCTTCCTTAGCGTGAAAAAGTAAACCCTATCTTGTAATTCACAGATGAATGATCAGCCAGCAGAGCGACAAAAAAAACATCACTCCTTAAAAGGATATATAAACACACAGAATACATCAAAGCACAACATACTACTAATACAAACCATAGTTACCTACTTATCAAAGTACAAAGCAACAACTGTCGATTCTCCAGCCTTAAAATCATGCACATCAAAGTAATTCTACTACTTTCATTAGTTGCATATGTCACAGCCAGGTACGCCTACAACTATTTGGACGACCGTGATGATGAGCGCTTTGCCGAACGACTCATTCTTCGAAAGCTCATCCAAACGCTGATACAAAAACGTACACATCATTAATTTACACCGTTCTTGGTTTACCAATCCATTCCGCCTCAACTCTGTACCAAAAAACACGTTTAAAGTGAACACAACCCTGGTTAGGGGAGTATTCATACGTCACATAATATTTATTTCTGCGTTTACCATAATTCAACCACTTCGAAGGGAATTAAAGGGATGAATAGAATGTTACTGAATAGTATTCCTTTGTCATATGATGCTTATTCATAGGTTTCACACCATTCTACCACTTCAAGGCGAATCAAAGAGGTGAATAGAATTTTTGTGAATAGTATTCATTTCTCATGTCATCTTTACCCATAGGTTCCACATCACTCTAACATTTTCAAGGGAATCAAAGCGATGAACACAATCCTGCTGAATAGTATTCATTTCTCATACGATCTTTCCGCATATATTCAACATTATTCTATCATTTTCAAGCCAATCTTAGAGATGAATAAAATGTTAATGAATAGTATTCATTAGTCATATGATATTTACGCATAGCTTCAACCTTATGCTAAAACTTTGAATCAAATCACAGAGATGAATAAAATCTTACTCAATTGTATTCATTTGTTATATGATCTTTACGCATAGATTCAAAATCATTGTACCACTTCGATACGAATCACAGAGATGAATAGAATCTTACTCAATTGTATTCATTTGTTATATGATCTTTACGCATAGATTCAAAATCATTGTACCACTTCGATACGAATCACAGAGATGAATAGAATCTTAATCAGTTGTATTCATTTCTCATATAACATTTACTCTTAGATTCAACATCATTCTACCATTTTGAAGCGAATCAAACAGATCAATAGAATTTTTGTATATACTATTCATTTCTCATATCATGCTATCATAGGTTCAACATCATTTTAACACTTCAAAGCGAATCAAAAACATGAATACAATGTTGGTGAATAGTATTCGTTTTGTCACATGATCTTTACGCCAATATTCAACATCATTCTAACACTTCGAAGCGAAACAAAGAGATGAATACAATGTTTATGAATAGTATACATTTGTCATATGATTTTTACGCATAGACTCAACATGATTTTAACACTTCGAAGCGAATCAAAAAGTTGAATAGAATGTTAGTGAATAGTATTCATTTGTCACGTGATCTTTACACGTAGATTCAACATCATTCAAACACTTCGCAGCAAATCAAAAAGATGAAT